AATTGAACAAGTTCTTGACTATAGAACTTTCCCTACGACTCCACTGTCCTATCTTGACTATATGATAGAAGAGATAAGTGGACTGATTGGCACTTGGATAAACAGAGCCGGAAGTGGGCTCGCCATTGCTTAAGACTCATGTGTTATAGTAAGTGAGCCGATTTTATGTACAAGTCTTGTTCCTTTTGTTTCTGTGAGACTTAAAATTTCAGAGTTTTTGCAGATATTAAAGTGCTGAAGTTTGAGCCATCTACAGTGGCAGCGTGCTCACTGCTGTGTGAACTCGAACAACATCCTGCAAGCGAACGAATGCTTGGAAAATTAGTGGATGAAATGCAGCTTGATAGGGTAAAATTGATCGTTAAATGTTTTGATTCTGAAGTTGTTTGTTGTTGTTGTAAGAGTAAATGTTTTTCCTTTTGATGCAGGTCACTTGAAATTAAATTGAATTAATAATTTCTCTTATATTTGCACTTTGACAGGGGAGAATCATTGCTTGTCTTGAAGAGGTGACCCCAAGGGGATGAATTCTGGTATGCTGTTCGAGGAAGAAGCTGCGGCTATGAAAGCCTGTTCGTTTTTGTCTTACCTGTTAGGGTACATTCCTTTCTTCTATCTTGTCAGTGCCAATTCTTTAGTTTGAAACAAATTTCCATTTTCTCCAATCTGTTCGGGTAGTGGTATGCTGTTCGAGGAAGAAGCTGCGGATGGATACCGTTAGTGTACATTCCTTTCGTCTATTTTGTCGGTATCAATTCTTTCTTTGGTTTGTAACAAATTTGCATATTCTCCATTCTGCTTGGGTAGTTCCAGGTTCAAAGATTTGTTAGCATTATTTGACTTGTGTCTTTATGGGTTGCTTTCGAGTTACTACTATGTTTGACTTGATAAATAACTTTGCCATTCTTGGAGCTTTTTAAATTTCATTGTGAATCATTAATTTTAATGTTGGAACATTACTGAGTTTTGGTAATTATTCTATCTCCCCTATTCTCACGGCAATGGGTGATTGCATAAATACCAAAAAATATACCAAAACAAGTGTATCTTGATCATTTTAAGTGTTTGTTATAGTTATTTTTATGTATTTTAGATGTATATTTTATACCAAAAAATATAGTTATTTTGATCAAGTAACTAACTGAATCCATATAACCAAACATGGTGCATACTCTAGGTAAATTCGATTTATTTTATGCTTACTATTCCCATCAACGATTTTTTTTTTTTTTT